GCACCCGCCGTAGCCGGCTGTCCGCGGCGGCGGCACCTGCCGGGGCGCCGCCGGGGCCGTGGGGCCGGAGCGGCCGGCCCGGTGCCCCCGCTCCCGGGGGCCTGCGCTCGCCTCGGCCCCGGGAGAGCAGAGCCAGCCCTGCCCTGGGCCCGGTGAGCCCCTGTCGGGGCCCCACAGGGAAGCGGTTTGTCTTAGTTCTCCGCAGTGTCTCTCGGCCCCTGTCCCGTGTCTTCACTTGGCACTAATGACGAAATTAAATGAGATCGAACTTCAGAAAGCTTCAGAGATTGTCCTTAAAACGTTGTAGTGTATATGTGCATCGTTTATCCTAGTCCTTTACCTTTCTTAATTTAAGCTGACTTTACTGGGGAACAGAAAAGTCTGAGTAACAAGTTGTGGTTCTACAGAATGTGAATGGAGCAGCAATAGTGTTGTTTAGAAAGAACGCAGATGGAGACAGTTTGCTAAAYAGAAATATTGTTTCTTTTTTCTTTCTGCAAAATAATTGACTGGATTTAATATTCTGTTATTGAACAGAAATTGGTGTTGATCCTGTCTAGTAGTAGCATGTAAGTGCCTTCTGTGGTTGCCTTCACAACCTTGTGTAGTGATTGCTATGTTTGAAACACTRTCTAGAGTTTAAAACCCAAAGGCTGACAACTTAAGAAAGGAAGGCAGAGGGATGTGTATCAGGAACATTACATTTTAGATTCTGTTTTCTGTAGCAATCTGCACACGTAGTATAGTTTTAAACACCCTCAGTCAACAGTTTCAAAAGTTGGGTGTTGACAAGCCCGTAAAATAGCCACTTCTTATGTGATGCTACACATCACTAATAAAAGTAGGAAAGTGTTTACTCGTGGAACTTGTCTTGCGTGTGGCAGCACTAAGCCAACAACCATTATTCCTTGTACCCTTCTTGGAACTCTTAAGTATCTGCAAATCATTAGAAATGGCCCTTTAGTCATGGGCTGCATCCTTAAGTATACTTCTGTGACTGTAACAGGTTTGTGTGTGTTTTTTTTCTTTTAATTAGAAAAAAAAATGTTTTTAAACTAGGGAAAATGTGATTTGATTGCATTATAGTGTCAAAATTTGCAACCTAAGACAGGTGAGTGAAGCTTGTGAGCTGTACATAGAGTCAGCGGTACTGAAGGTAATAGTGGCAGTTAGCAGCAAAGCAATACAATCAACTTTTCATTAATTGGGGATATAAGAGGTTGAGTTAGCCCAAGCAATCCATAAAACCAGTAACAATGATACTGTGAAAAACTAAGAGATGTTGAAGAGATACTCAGCTGCTTGAAGGTGGTGCTTCTCTACTAAGTTATTTTAATTTTTATGTGATTTCAGCCAATTGGAAGTGTCTAGGCCAGAGTTTTCATTATTCAAGGAAGGTGGTGGGCTATCCAGACTGTGTTGCCTGCCATACATCCAGGCAAACTGCAGGGATTTTGACAGARAGTAGGGGGTGAGGGTAGGTTGTAATTAGGGAGAAGAGGAGCCTGGGATATGTAGTTGTGTTGTGTCTGACAGCATTTGTGATATTAGATAGCAAACCTGACTGCAATGATGCCAGAGAAGCTGTAATCTGGAAGCAGTACACCCAATTTACTGCTGTTCCAAGGATGATACTACTTAGGTGGAGCTAATATATCCTGCCTGACTTGAACTTTCACTGTGCACAGCTGTTCTGAAAGTCACTGTGCTGCTAGAATTGGGAAGCTGTGTGGAGCAGAAACAACTGGTTAAATAGGGCGATCTTTG